AGCTGCCAACGTTGCAGCTGTGCCAATGTGACTGTGCCAATGTGGCGGCTGTGAAGGCGGCCGTTGATGAAAATGGTGGAATTACCTTGGAAGCTGTGGAGGCAGCCCTTGGGATTAGTGCCTCATTGATTTCAAGAATTCTGAGGGAAAAGCTGGGCTAAAAAAGAGAAAACTGCAGGAAGGGCGCCTCATCTATTGAGTGGATAGCAAAACTCTGCCACTGTGAATTTTGCAAAACATTTAAAATTTTTCAAGCAGGGCTGAATTTTTTTGTGTGCCAAAGAATATGTTTTCCCTAATGAATAAATTTTTTCCAGTTCCATTAGACGCCATTTTCATTTTCATTCCAAGAACTTTTGTTAGAACCCTCATATGAGGGTTCTAACAAAAGTTCTCAGAGTATAGCAATGAATATGGCATAAAATTGAGCTGAAAAAATTTATTCTTTAGCAAAAACATATTCTTTGGCACACAAAAAAAAATCAGCCCGGTTTGATATTTTTTTCAATTGTTTGAAAAATGCATCCTTGTAGAGTTTTGCTCTCCACTCAAAAAATGAGGCGCCCTTCTTTTGTTGCAGCCCAGCTTTCCCCTCAGAATTTTTTAAATCAACTCAAAATTCTTTCTAAGGGTTGCCTCCAGGTGATCCAAGGCAATTCCCCCATTTTCATCAACAGCCGCCTTCACAGCTGCCAAAGTGGCGGCCAATGTGGCAGCTGTGAAGGCGGCTGTTGATGAAAATGGCGGAACTACCTTGGATGACCTGGAGGCAACCTTTGGCATGAATGCCAAGTTGATTTCAAGAATTCTGAGGGGAAAGCTGGGCTACAACAACAAAAGGGCGCCTCATCTTTTGAGTGGAGAGCAAAACTCGATTAGGATGAATTTTGCAAAAAAAATTTTTTTAATGTCAAACTGGGCTGATTTTTTTTGTGTGCCAAAGAATATGTTTTTGCTAGAGAATACATTTTTTTCAGCTCAATTGTATGCCATTTTCATTGCTACTCCAAGAACTTTTGTTAGAACCCTCGTATATATAGAGGTCCAACTTTACTCTCCTTTTTTCGTTTTCGCGAATTCTGATATTTATTGGTATGCTTTGGATGCAAAGAACAGGAAACTCGAAATGGAGAATGGAGCTCAACAAAATAGGGAACATATATGGGGAGGTCTGATTTATCAAAGTCCAACTGTCTTCTCTTTTTTCACGTTTTGATTCTTATTGGTCTGCCTTGCGTATATTACAGGAAACTCGAGATGGAGAAGCTCGAGATCAGGAATTACGAATTGTGTCCTAGTTACGCGGATCCAGCAACTGGTTGGTACACTGCCATCAGCCAATCTTTCGCCATTCCGAATGGAGGAAAGGCGAAACTGTCCTGGATTGACAGGAACGAAAAGCCAGGCTCTTTGAGCTTTCGTGTCAAAGGGACCCAACCAGCTGACGCCAGTGTCCTGGCAGCCATTGGAGAATCCCCTTGGTTCGCAAAACACCTTGCCCATCACGAATCAAGCGGCAGAAAACAATTCGACAAAAAGGGAGAGCCAACTATAAGCATTGATAAGCCTGATGATCCGTCTTCCACAGTCGGTGTCGGAATTTTCCAGATAACCAATTGCAAGAAATGCCAAAAAGTGACTTGCGACATGGTCTGGAAATGGAGGGCGAATGTGGACAGGGGAAAGGCAATGATTGCTGATGCGGTAAAGCAGGCAAATACGTGGATGAAAAATCAGCGAAAACAGGCTTCTGCTCAAAATAACAACAAGAACGTTCCGGTTCCGGATAGAACTGAAGCCAGGTGCAAATTCAGCGACGAGAAGGATTCCAGCAAGAAANAACAACAAGAACGTTCCGGTTCCGGATAGAACTGAAGCCAGGTGCAAATTCAGCGACGAGAAGGATTCCAGCAAGAAAATCGAGGATGCAGTCGCAATGAAGATTTACAACAGTGCTGCGAAGCATTACTGCTTCTGGGATAATAATAAGAACAAGTGGGGATTCGTGCCTTTGAACGGGCAAAACTTCAACTACGTCAACAGAGTCTGCAGCGTGAAGGAAGTGCCCGCAGATTGATCCATTTTTCTCTCTTTTTCCTGAAAATGTTCTAAAAAAAATTTTTTTAATCGCTGCATGCTGACATTTTGGAAATATTTTCAGGAGTGCGGAGTAATTAAATGTTGCATTGCTTACGCTAACGTTTGGCTATAATAATATAAGATGCTTTTACGTGCGATTTTATGGTCTTTGGTTTTCAATATCCATTACCGAACTATTATTAAAATGGAGAAGTTAATTTTAGGACTGCTTGCATACATATTCACTCAAAAATCGTCACACTGCTTGTACAAATGATGATGCCAAGCATGCATCTCTCTTTTCAACACAGAAACGTACTTGCTTAATGTCGGAAAATTTTAAGGCATCAGCTAGAAAAGTTTCAAAATCACTCAGTAGAATGTTCCGTATTGTGTAAAATGAATCAAATAAGATCCTGCTTTGAAATTGTTCATCGCATGATTCGGTAGAATATCTGATGAGAAAATATCACAATATGATTTTGTATAACATAAAATCTAATTACAGTAAAATGAATATTGTTGCAATGAATATGCTTTCCAAGTCCCTGCCAAACCCGCCAAAATGTTATTTTGATTTCTTATCAACACTGCATGTTCTGCAAAAAATATTTCCTGTTCCCAAGGATGACTTGTTCGTTACAAGATTTTACTGTAATTTGATGGCTGACTTTTGAAATTCACAGGTACTCCTGATTTTCTGCGATTGGGCATAAAAATTTTACACTGGAATATAAGGGAAATTGCACCAAGATTTTGAGCACCTCACGTACTCCATTAAATGTTCGCTTCACCCGCAGGTAAAATTCCATTAAAAATAAGGACAAATTATCATTTATTTTTTCGGCCGGAGATTATTGTATTTTAGTTTTTAAAAAACAAGGGTGCCATCTGAGGATTTCCAATGCCATTCCATATCGGGGATGAAAACACATCATTTTTTGAGCCGGAGGAGACTTTATTTTAGGAAAGGGCGAAATGCAAATATTTGTCAGATGCACACTCTGATTTTTCTTAGATTATAAAAATACAATCTCATTTTATCAATGTACAGTACAGTATATGTTCTAATGTGAATTAATATATGCTCCATTCCTTTCGAAAAGTAGAGGGAAATTGCTGTGCACATGGTTAAAAAAGGAACAGTATTCAAATTTTCATTAATTAAAAAAATTTTGTTACGTTGCCAATAATTTGATATGACTCTGATTCGATTGAGCAATTGAAGCAGTGCTTTTTAAAAGGATTCCATTATTATTGATCGGTATTCTCTTCCGCTCTTCGAAAAACATTCGCTTGAGACGATTTCCAAAAAATAATGTTTTTGCATTTCCGTGGTTCAAGAAAAGCACCAATTTCGCTTGCACATGCAAAGAATAAAATAAATAATTCATGTCATGACAATAACTCGAAAATTAATTAAAAACCCAGTAGAAGTCTGGAAATAAGGGTTAAATAGCATAAAGATAAACAATCTTTAGATTGAAAATTTTCTTTCCATCTACAGCACAAATATTGGCAATCATAAAGCAGTGTTTTGTACAGTATTTCAAATCAGAGCAGAACTTGAGTAAGTATCGAAATTTTTTCCTGAAAAAGCAGTTTGTTTCGATGGAACTTATCATAATTGAAGATACAGAATCCTTCAAAAGGTAGAATTACTTAATAGAATTTGAGACATTTTCGATCCCATCACCATATATTTCATGATTCAAATATTTCGGATATTTTGAATGTAACATCGATCATTCAATCATACTGTATTAAATAGACAAATACACCGTTATTTTTTTTTTCAAAGTGATGAATCATTTTGTCGCAACGGAAGCAACCAAAATGTTATCTCCGATTTTCCACGATACGTTCGCCGGCTAAACCGAAGCATTGTCTGCATTTTGATAAATTTCCATTCGGATAGCACTATCTTGCTCGATTTCACAGAATTGTGATAAAATCCATCATGTAAAAAGCGAGGATGTTATCGATGACTTATACGTATATACTGTACACTGTACTTTCGTCCTGCATGCTTCAGTCGATGTAGAACCGGTGGATCTACATTTTGTCAATAGGGTAGTTCCATATTCTGATCGTCTCAGACACATTTTTATATTCTGGAATAGTTGTGGTTTCTTTGCAATTTTCCAAATTGAATAAGGAAAGGCATTTTTTCAAGTTTACAAATTTTTTTCATGAGATTCAGTCTCAAAGCCTCGTTATATTTGGAAGAGATTCCGACTAACATTTGGTTGCTTTTTCCTGGATGATCAACAGCAACTCGCGAATTTGTATTCAAAATGAGACAATTTCAAAGAATTCCCTAATATATAAAGATAATTTGATCGTAATGCTCGCTGATGTAACAAATGAGCAATATATTTTGAAGATATCGTCATGTCACTCACATTTTGTTTTATTAATATTTTGTGATGTAAGTGATTGATCTTATTCGTATCTTTTGCACATCACCGAACTGATGATGACTTGTTGTGCTTTATCCTGTTTTGACTTCAAATTCAAATTGACAGCGCATCTTGATGTTTGAATATTGTCTGATATTCTTTGACAAATTTGTGATGCGCGTAAAAGATGGTTCATTGCCTTGAATATCATCCATCTGACGGTCCAAATATACTGTATATATTAATTTCTGAATCAATTTTGGGCGCTTGAGGTTGAGACAAACGATTCAAGTTTTTTTTTACGCGAAATATAGGCCGAGAAATGCAACTTGAAACGAGTGGGATAAACTAAATCAGTGCACAATGATTAAAAATAATAATTGACTTGAATTATGAGAACTACGTGAAATAAATGTTTTTAAAAGCTGAATCCAGAAAAATTGAAGCTTCCCTCGTAACACGGCATTTTAAACTGAATTCATGTAAAACCGTTCGATAATCTTTCGAAGCTTGTGAAACTTTTGTTTTTAAGATGGAGAAGAAAACATTGGTGTATGTTGGGTCTGGGGTATGTGTGGTTGTTCTGGTGGTGATCGGAATTGTGCTGGGTGTAACTCTCACCTCTTCGGATGACGATGACAATAAGTCGCAACTAGAAATCGACACTTTGAGTTCAATCAATGAAAACACGACATTCCCAGAAGGGTCTTTCCGCATGCAAGAAAATCAAATCCAGTCCTGGGATGATGAAGAGAGCCGGAAACCCATGAGCATTAGCAGAGAGGAACTGCAGCAAGTGGGGATACGAGTGAGTTGAATGACAATTTTCGCAGATGAAGGGATGGTCACACGCTGTTGATTTCAGACGTTTTTCATCCAATTATTTTAAATATTTTGAATCATTAACCTATCCAGAGAATTCTCATTATATTAATGCTGCAGTTCTCATTTTATTAATGGCAGCTAATTTTTAATAAAATAATTAAAAAGTCTGTTTTCATCCAGGTGATTTCAGAGAATTTTTCGTCAATGAATTTCAGATTATTTATTCCATTATTCTTTTTGTGGTCAGTGGCAGTCGATTCCATGAATTGAACTTCTAATTTGATAAGACCATCATAGAACAGGAAAATAATTTATTTTTCATTTTCAACGGGTGAGAGGGAACTTTTGTCAGGAATTTTTCAATGTGTGTGTTGAGGGCACACAATAAGTTCCCAACAAAAGAGAGCAGTGCAGCACAGTTGAAAATAGAGATAAATAATCACACAGGACAATCAGCTGGTTTGCACCCAAGAATATGTAGTTGAGGGGCACCTCAATCACATATTCCTATAGTTTTGTCTGGTTTATTGATGACGCAAAAATCACAGTCCACACAAAGCAAAACATGAATCAAATAGAGATTCACAATAAATGAGCGCAAACACATCCAATAAATATAAGTAAAAAAATTTGCGCACAAATTAGTGAATGAAAATCACTGAGCATATTGGTACAAATAAGGTGATTACTGATTTAGGGGAAGTTTATGCTATATAGGAGCTAAGTTAATGGGAAAATATGGACTGATAATTGGCAAAGGGGCTAAGCTGAGCATTTAAATGTTTTCATAGCTGAATGCATTGATCAACTGGCCTGACCAAAGCACTTGACTTTTGTCCCTGCCTGTGATTGGTGGCAGAAATGTGAATCAAAGAAGTTGCATCCACAGGAAAATGGGACCAGCAGCAGAATTCAGGTTCTGGAACTTTATGTTCCTGGGCCCCAGTTCTGGTTCCCCAGCAGTGTGCAAAATTTCTCATATTACATCCAGAACGGGATTAGTTCTAGAGTCAATACATAGATTTCATTTTTCAACTATAATTTTGCCAAAGTTTCAAAGCCACAGTAAAATAAAGGAGAGGTGGTGTTTTACCACAATTATACACAGTGATGGTTGAGCAATCAAAGTATTTTATTCAAAATTAAGAAGATGTAGAACACAAACTTGATAAGTTCTTCTAGATTATTCACTTAAGGCAGACCCTGCTGACATATTTTTGCTGTTTGAATGCTCAATTCTATGTACTGGTGTAATTTGACAGATCATCATCGAGGCAGCTTATTAGCAGTTTCACTTCACACAAGTTACTTTAATTAGCTGATTTTTGAGCATTGTAAAGACAGTTTGTTGAAGTTCTGGTATCTATAATAGCCTTGGAAATCGGTTGCTTCTTCAAATATAATCCGTGATAATTTTGGAAGAATTTTTTTAGGGTTCAAGTTGCATTGTATTGAGAGAAATGAATGTATTGAGAGAGGGTCACAATTTGACCCTTATCCATTGCCAAACTAGGTTTAAATTGCAAATTGATTAAATTGTGAGAAGGTCCATGACATTCTAAAAATATAAGTAAAAAGCGCAGAAAAAGTGGCCAAAGCAGGTTGAATTGCAGGGCAAGGCTCAAATTGCAATTCAACCTCAAATTGCAATTCAATTTAATGAATTGCAGGGCAAGGGTCAAATTGCAATTCAACCTCCCTGCTAATTTTAGCATTTAATTTTGTGATGGTTGAATTGCAGGAGCTCAAATTGCAAGGTACCACCTGTATTTTTTGACTGTCATTGATTGAATCATTTAATCTTATGGAGATTTTTTTCAGAAAATTTATACCGTCTTCAGTTCAAATAATAGGTCAAAATTAGAGTTGAAATTCGGTATTATAATCGGAGATATTTATGATTGTATTATTCAATTATGCGTCTTACATTCTTGTGAAAAATTTCAGTCGCGCTATTTAATGTTGAAATGTGCAATTTTTATGATACAAATGGCATGTATACTACTCCAATTTAATATGGTATAGCTGAAATTATAGCTAATATCTGCATGAATCATTCCTTTCATGTACACCCCAGTGGGGAAATTGGTGCACATTGGGGATATGTTTGTAATTCTGCACAGTGACCCTGCTGCGCACCTGAAGTGTACCAAAGTTCTTCTGTTGCACATACATATCCCTAATGTGCACCAATTGTGTGTTCACACCAGGATTACTCATGGTCACATTTGTAAACAAATAAGTTACACCAAGGTTACAGTTGGTGCATTTGTGTGATACTCCTGTTCTATCACATTTGTGCACCAAGTAATGTAGCCCTGGAATGGTAGCAAAATTTCCTCCACACCAGTGCACACTTGTAACCCCAGAAAAACCCAAATGCACCAGTTGTGACCCTGGTGTGCACCTCCTGTGGGGTCACAGCAAAAATAGCTCCCACTACTGGGGCATATGCTGTACAGTATAGTATTTCCTCCTGTAGACGGACGACACCTCATTCATAGCTGAGAGTGGTCGTCTCACCTTCCTTTACATCCGAATTCCAAACCCACCGGCTGATGGAACCCGATCAAAAAGGGCAGTAGGAACGTTAGCCAATGACATTGGCAGCATTGGAATCAAGATGGGGGACTCAGACTTCGTCACAGTTATTCCCCTGAATATTGCTGGGACGAATAGTGGGCTCAGGCAAGTCGGGAAGCTAAGTGATTCCACGGTCTACGAACTTGAGGTGAGTCAACCACTTAAACGAAAACAAAATTGATGAACGAGGTTCGAGAGATGAACTATATACCTACGCATTTGCACGAGGCAAGACAAAATCTGGAGAAAGAAAATTTGAAAAATGAAGTGAAAGCTATCAAACAGCGGCGATTCCAGATAAGAATTATCAGATTTATACTCGAGTACCACGCCCATTTAAGTAAGATGCGCACCAGAATTTTTAATTTGAAATTTTGGATAAAAGTGCTGTTTTTCCGAGTAAAAGATCCGCAACACATATTTTTCGTGATACCCTAAAACTACATCACCGTATAAAATTCAACTCTGCAGAATATCGCAAAAATACTGTACATAATCCACACCAAGAAGTCTGCTTTGTGAAAGGTTGTTCTCTGTGCGAAAATTTATGAACCTATAACTGTACCAGGATGAGACACACATATTTTGCTTCCCAGAATAGTACATTGGCATTTATAAAATACAGTGGTGCCAAACACATTTGTGCCAAAAAGCAGCAGGTGATTATGCACAATTATTGTGACAAGGCATTCAATGCGTTGAATGCCCAGATGCAGTGAGACCCCCATGATGCGGACATAACTGGTGCATCAAGAGTGTCCCTAAGTTGAATTGTCCCCAAGTTGAGTCTTGTTTTCCCATAGAAACATTATATAATTTTCAATTGGTGTTTTATTCAAGAAATATTCTTCAGAATTCCGTGAAAGAAAAATTAGTTTGCCCATTGAATTTGATTCAGTAAATATCTTTTCAACCCCAAAAGAACATTTGGAGCATTGAATAGTAGGCAGCTGTATAGTTCATTAAAATGTTGGCATCTGCAAAAATAACATCCATGTAACAAAGAGAGAAGGATGTCCCTCTGTGCTATAGGTAATTTTTTTAAATTAGCTGAATGGATGGGAAAGTGATGCAAAAAGTAGCAAAGAATTTTTCTGGCATAGATCTTAGGGTTGGAAATATCTGTTTCTTGCAATTAAGCATCGTAAAAGTCAATTTTTCTAAAATTTATTGGCAATTTAATCATGCAATGTCCTCATGTTGAGTCAGTGTCCACTCCATATAATGAGGCTTCTTTATATTTTTTTATTGAAAAATTAATTTCCCTATGTCAAATTGTCTCCATGTCAAGGTGTCCACATGTGGGGGTCTCACTGCTGTGTATATGCAACTTGAACTTTGATGCGCATTTTTCCCGGAATTTTCCATGATTACCTCTTGCATAATTTGATTTGATCTTGCATTTTTATTTCCTTTTTTTCTGCGGTTCATGCAACATGCAGGCAAGGATGCCAGAACTGTCTGACTGCTCATCTTCAATCTCAGCCTGCTTTGTGACGGCTTGGCAACCCGTGTCTCTGTCAGCTGACGGGAAATACGGAGCAATGGCAGGTTTCAGCAACCCAATGCCCGTGTCCTGTGGTACCCAATGCCCAGGTGATGGGACATCCAACGAATGTTCAGCCGGATGCAGTTCCTGCGATGGCTCCCAAATGGTTTCCGGTGCAGACACGCCAGTCACTAAGCGCTTCAACATGGGAACCAATAATGGCACTTTCAAATTCTATTACCAAACATATTCCGTCAGAGACCGAATCACGGTTAGACACGACGATGGTGTCATTTTCGACACTGGTTGCGTTGGTCAAACTGCCACACCGGAAGTCTCATTCAGTCCTGCAGCTAAAGGAAACGAAATCGTGGTTAGCGTGGAACCCAATTGCCAGGGAACCACGGGAACTGCGTGGGATTTCAAGGTTTTTTGTCCGGAAATATGTACAAATGAGACCGAGGGTCAAATAATCATTTCCAGTGGAGCCCGTTTAATCAAAGAAGGAGATTCGGTCTACATTAACGCAAACGGGGATATGCCGGCTGTCAAAGGAACCTATTGCGGCACGACACCCATCAAATGGTTCGTGCTAATCAATTAATCAATGAGTAACTCTGTACAGTAACCGTTCTATATCAATGCACTTGGACCATCTTACCTCACTCCTCCCTGATCGAAGGTCAAGAAAATCTTTACCTGAACTGTTTCAATCGAGTCTCTGTCTGAATTTTTTTTAAAAGAACATTGCAATCTATAGATCTGTGCATAAAACAGAAGTTGCACGTCTAAAAGCTATATAAATGAAACTTCTTTCGGAAATACCTGTATTGTGATTATTCTGGAGAGAAGAAAATGGAAGAGCACTACCATTGACTTTTGTGACATTATATTATAACTTACGTATAACTTTTTTATTTTCAAAATCAAATGAGCGATTTATTTGGCAAATTTCCTCCTGCTGTGAAGTTTAGCACCATGTCAACTAATTTTTTTCAGCAGTCCAAGAGCCAAAAAGAGATCACTAGTTTCTTATTTCTGGATGATGGATGCTTTTGGACTTGAGTTACTTCTTAATTGCCGGAGTGGGGAAATTGGTGCACACTGGGGATTTGTTTGTACTGTAATTCTACACAGTGACCCTGCTGTGCACCTGAAGTGTAGAAAAGTTCTTCTGTTCAACATGCATATCCCCAATGTGCACCAGTTGTGTGTTCACACCAGGATTACTCAGGGTCACATTTGTAAACAAATAAGTTACACCAAGGTTACAGTTGGTGCATTTGTGTGATGCTCCTGTTATTTCACATTTGTGCACCAAGTGTAACCCTGGAATGGTAGCAAAGTTTCCTCTACAGGAGTGCACACTTGTAACCCCAGAATATCCCATATGCACCAGTTGTGACCCTGGTGTGCACCTACTGTGGGGTCACAGCAAAAATAGCCCCCCACTCCGGTGGCTTTTCAAAGCATTCCCATCACTCTGCACATAGCAGAACATGCTGGCCTGCAAAAATTATTTAAAAAAAAACAACCAGCAGCAGCTCAAGGAAACCTGTTCAAGGAAAACCAACTCTCTGCAATCACTGTTCACACAATCTTCAACTGTTAATATTGTTTGCAGTGTGATATGCTTTCTATGTCACCCAACCAATATAATCAGAGGATAAAAGCAGCTAATCTAGGCATAAATAAGCACTGCTGTACATCCACCAATACCAATGTACAGTATTGTAACTGCATCAGCATGTATACTCTCAAACTTCTGCAAGTCAAACTCTGAGGGACAGATTTCTTGTGTTTGGAATTATAGCATAAATATTTAAAAATTTAAGAATTACGAGTTGGAATTTGTAATCTATGGCCTAAATTACTGGGCAAATGAGTTGACAGGATGCTGAACTTGGAGCAAAAGGGTACTTTTGCTCAATTAGTCACTCACTTCTTTATTGAAAGCATCAATTACAAGTTTATTATTTTTCTCTTTTGTGGGTCTCATCAGATTGATAGCCCTGAGGCCTCCAGATGTTGAATTCATAAAGATATGAAAGGCAAAGTATTTTGGTAAACATAAGTTTTTAAAAAATTGAACACCGTTCTTAAGGAAATTTAGACTGGAGCTCAGCAAAATAGGGAACATATATAGGGAGTTCTGATTTATCAAAGTCCAACTGTCTTCTCTTTTTTTTCGTTTTCACGTTTTGATTCTTATTCGTCTGCCTTGCGTATATATTACAGGAAACTCGAAATGGAGAAGCTCGAGGTCAGGAATTACGAATTGTGTCCTAGTTACGCGGATCCAGCAGAACTGGTTGGTATACTGCCATCAGCCAATCTTTTGCCATTCCGAATGGAGGAAAGGCGAAACTGTCATGGATTGACGCGGACGGAAACCCTGGCTCTTTGAACTTCACTGTCAAAGGGACGCAACCAGCTGACGCCAGTGTCCTGGCAGCCATTGGAGATTCCCCTTGGTTCGCAAGACACGTCGCGTATCACGAATCCGGCGGGCGAAATCAATTTGACAAAAAGGGAGAGCCTATCATAGGCATTGATAAGCCTGCTGATCCGTCTTCCACATTCGGCGTCGGCATTTTCCAGATAACCAATTGCAAGGATTGCCAAAAAGTGACTTGCGACATGGTCTGGAAATGGAGGGCTAATGTGGACAGGGGAAAGGCGATGATTGCTGATGCTGTGAGTCGCCGTTTATGCACCTACTTTTTAGTCGCTTTTGTCCGAAGACGAGTTTTATTGTTGTTCTTGCAAGGCCAAGGCCTATCTTGACTTCGGTCCACGTTTAAGTCGCTGCTCTTCCTAAGGTCGTTCTTTATCGAGGATGCAGTCGCAATCTTCTAAATGTTGTCACGACGCTTCGTAATGACGAAGACCCTATTATTATTCTTGTTCACCCCTAAGCACGGAAACTTGCCCGTTTTGAAGTTGATGCAGTTGTCTCAGACGTCGCACTTCCTTCACACGTCAGATTGATTTTTTTTTACTGCTAATTTTCTGTAAAATAAAAAAAAAACGTAAAAATCGCCGCTGAAATTTTGGTAGTGTCCTTTTCAGGGCGGGGTAATCGAATGCTTCTTTTTTTTGCGCTTACTTTCGGCTGAAATAATAAGCTGCTTTTTCATGCGTTATTATTGATGTCGGTTTTCATTTTACCGTACAGAAATATTTTTAAAAATGAGAAGAAAATTTCAGGACTGCTCGCATAACTATTTAATAATAACTTTTCCGCCATTAATAATGACGCCAAAATGCGTCTTCTTTTTTCCCTCATCACACTTGGGGAACAATTCTGGAAACTTTAGGGCATCAGCTAAAACGGATTCAAATTCACTCACTGTACAGTTTTTAGCATTATGATTAAAATTAATAAAATGAAATTAATAAAGTGAGGAACTGCCCATCGCATAAGTCATCAGCATTCCTGGAAACATATTAAAGCAGGATCTTGTAACAAGAAATCTAATTTTTATGAGATATTGTCACAATTAGTCTGTTTTTATGGAACCCTGCGCGAGAAACCTATAACATGTTACTGTATATGAATTTCTCATTAAAACTGTTCTACAAGATCTTCGTTGTACATGTCTATCTCATACTCACAGTCAATAATAATTTACGAAATTTACTGAGCTATCAAAATTTCTGAGCAATTGAGAGAGCGAGGATACATATAAATAAAATAAAAATACGACGAATTCTGCCACGCCGAATGAAAACAGTTTTATATAATTGAACATGCACGTTTTATCATAAACGTATTTATAAAAATTACCATTATGCGTGTAGTAGAGTATAATATAAATAATCTTGTACACAAATATCTTATCGCATTTCACGTTTCATTCGAGGAATTTATCTTGAATTAGTCAAGTGCAGATAACCGACTAAATGCCAACGTTATTATCAGTTCTTTTCCCATTCTTGTTCAAGGCGAATCTTCTGATACGTAAATTTAGTCAGAAAAAAGTTGATTCAACATGCCCTATTATGTCAAGTTATAGTGTGTCGTCTCTCGTCTGACACTAGTGATTATTATTATCTATTTAAAACACATATTTTAGAGCTTTAAAAAAACCTTTGGAAAGTCAAAATTTGATTGCCGATGACCTCGACATTCCACTCGAACATTGTTTTCCATTTTATGCTAAGGGAAGAGGAGATAAATTTTTTCCTTTGTGTAACAGTCCAAAGATTACTCACTTTATACAATCAGAAATGTTTTCGCGAGTAAATAATTGGACAAATAATACAGCAGCATAACTAATACGAAGAATTCTTCAAAAATATTGCGGATCACAAGAGTGTCATTCCAGTTGAATAAAATGCTTGAAAATTGCTTTAAATTCACAGATGTCACCCCATTCTGCTCAGCAGAAAATTATCAAAACCCATTGACTTTTTAAAATAATTTATTCCTGATTCAAAGATCACAGTATTATAGAAAAGGGCGAAATTCTGAGGATTTCCTACTTCATTCCAAATTGGAGATGCATCAAAGCTTATTTTTTATTGAAGAACCCAACTTATAAATATGCAAAACCTCCACGTGTTAGGCATGAGTCACCAGCATAACTTTTCAGTATATTGAAAATCACGTAAGAAAATATCAGCTCATATTGCGCAAAACCTCTCGAAAATTAATCATTAAACCGGAGGAGTTGTAATGTTATGAATAAAACATTCCAGATTCCCCAGGATGTTTTTCCAATGAAGGAGCTGAAGTCGATCTTCCTCATCAGCAATTGCCATCTTAGGAATAAATAAATAGAAAGTCCCAATATCTCAGGAATGTCAAGAAGCATTTATTTATTTCAATACGACATTTCAAACATTGAGCGCTTGACTCAACATTCCCGCAGATTTTTGTTAGAAAAACGAGAGCGAAATTATTCACGTTGTTCTCGGAAGCAAAACTTCGGAATTCAAAAACAACAACGCGGTACAATAAGAAGGAAAAATTTCAAAAGCCCCCAGAAATAAAGGAGGAAATTCCGTAACAGCTAAAAAAAAAAAAAAAAGCATTCGACTTCTGTGAGCAAAAATAACCACAAAAAAACCAGGGCCTCTCTCCAACTCTGAAGCCGATTTTCCGGGAACAATTTCATGACAACTCATTGTTCCCACGACGACGTGCGAAGAAATTAAAATAAAAACAAAATAAGAAAGAATAAAAAAAAACTCGGAAAAAATGAAAGCGGAAGAAACGATGATAACCCGGGTATTTTCAGACTTTAATCTGGCAAATGTACGCAGAAGGATTGGCGCAAGTGATGCCCTCGAGGCGGTATTCGGAACGGGCATCCGCGGCCCGGGTAATGGCCAGGCAACTCCGCGACCCAGACGAGGAAGTGTACCCATTCTCGATCTTCCGGTCGAAACTCGGGTCGACCATTTTCTGCGTGGTTTCCCACAAGTAGTCTTGAAACTCTCGCTTGGCTCCGATCCAGTAGAATTCTCCTCGTCTTCCGGAAGCTGTAAACAGGAATAAATTCAGGATTTACTGTACATCAGTCGATCAAAAGGATGCTGCAGCTTCTTTCATATACAGATATGGAATTTTTAATTTATCTATTAAAAAAAGGAAATTGCTGCAAAATTCGTTGCGGAGAGTTCCTTTGTTGAGATTCCCTGTAAACAATGAGAAAGAAACCCTATGGGACCCCCTCAAAAAAATCGTTATACAGAGACACTTGTAGACAAGAGATTTCAGATGATGTACATTGTACAACTACATTTTATTGAGGTGCCTGTATGGAAGTTTGTTCCATCAAAACTTCATCAATACAGTATACATTGAGACCCCGATATGCAGACACCCCAACATACGGACAATTCAGCTTAGGGGACACTTGAAAAAAAAAATCAGGCCCAACATCCAGACATTGGCTCAGAAGTTACGGACGATTTTCTGAAATTTTTTCAAAATATCAAAACATTCAATTTTTAAATTTTGATATCTTTTGAACAATTCAAGCTATTTATATTCACACAAATTGAAAAACATTTTTCATGCTAAATTCCCTCTAATTCATAATCAAAAGCCAGCTGATTTTGTGCTTATTTTTTTTCAAGTTTTTTTCCATCATCTGTGCATATTCTAGCAAGACTTATTTTTTTTGCTTTTTGAACTCTTTCTTTTATACAAAAAGATCAGATTCACATGGTATTGTTGTGCACTGTTGTTTTCTACAATATTTGAAGTTGCGGGAAAACATTTTTATTACATTTTTGAGGACTCATTTCTAATTTTTGACAAAAATGAGAACCAATTGAATACTTTTCCATTGGGTCACACTAAATACAGAGCTTACCCAGATTAAATTCATCATTAATTAAAAATCCAGTGCATTGAATATATGTGGCCAGAACTTTCATTTTACTGAACCAGCTTCATCATTGCAGGGTTTTGTTTAGTCTGTACTGGACTGAGCAAGAATTTCATCTTAGGAAACCCCTATAACATGAGGAAAGAGCCATGTGGGACAAAAAATCTTTATACAAAAGATCTTGCTTCTTGTCTTTTTTTAGAAATATGTCTCTTTTAACAACATCTATTCTAGAGAAACATATCTGTTCTCACAGGTAGCACACACGTTGATTTAAAATAACTCCAGGGAGATATACCTTCAAAGTTCTACAGTTCACAATATACAAAGAGCTTTTTGCAGAAGTCATTCATCATTACTTTTCTTTTATTTTGGTATCCATATGCAGCTTATTTATCTATTTCCCATTCTGAAGTAATTGAATGCGTTTGAATGGATTTGGGTTGGGTGGGGACCCCCAAATCTAAACCATTATAACTAACTTGGAAGACTTACGACTTTTCGTCTTTTATTTCGGAAGACAAGTAAGTAAGTAATTAGTTGTTAAGTCATGTTGACAACACCGGGTTTCGTTACGTCGACCAGCATCCAGTTGAAACCGGACCCCAAAAACTTGTTGTATTTTTGAGGCCAGTGAGCCTTGCAAAAATCTTGTTTTTGCAAGACTCACTGAGCCTCACTCAAGGACAAGAAGCGGTTTTCACTTCTTTGATTTTCCTTTATTGGCCAATCCTGAGCCAGGAAGAAATCACCTGATTTCTTTCTGACCCAGTCAAAGCACCTGGGTATAAAAACCCTCATTCCTCATTGAGAGGAGAAGTCAAGAAGTCAGAACCTAGTGTTATAGAGGGCCTTTTACCTTTAAATTACCTAATTTAATATTCTGAGCTAACCATTGAATCTGCCATTAAAACCGTTGAATTAACAGCCAATTGATGAACTGGGCAATGAGAATAATGAACTCCTCTGAAAATAGTTTGAGGTCAATAAGTTTTGAACGTAAGACTACCGACGTCAATTCAATTCCTTTGTCTGGGATCCAATGGACCCATGAAAACTACCTGGAATACAACTATAGAACGTCCATTCAGTTAAACCAGCTAGCTTCATCATGGTCGCAAGATTTTGTTTCTATTTGGGTGTATATACTCACGTGGTCTGGACTCTTCAGACTTCTTGGTCATGTATCTGGCCACTTCTTCATACTGGGCCACATCGTCGAATTCCGCCAAGTGGGCCCTTGGGTTCATTCGCATGCAGTTGGTTTGTGCTCCGTACCAGTCGACCAATCGGTCCGCATTGAACTGGTAGCACTCGGACAGGCCGGGAATGGCTTGGAACCCACGTGGGCACGGATTGGCATTACTTGGCAACCCCTCGCGGCCCAACAAGGACTCCCTCGCACTGGGCATGTTCGGACGCATATTCACTATATGAAGGTGAGAAAAACATGTACATATAAAACTACTGCACAATGGAATAAAAATACAGCACTGTTTGACAGCGCTTGAATGAAAACGTCTCAAAATTGAGACGAATTTTGCAAATTAATATACCTATCATACCTTACGCATCGAGTACAGCATGTTTCTCGTCACCATCTTCACCTCAGCTGTAACCCGTTGGGAAATAATTTGCGAAATTCACTCGACGAATGAAGCAAAATTGAAAAAAAAAGAGTTTTGACCCTTTGAAAAAAAAAATCCAGGGAATATTCTGATCTTTTTTGCACAGCGCAGAAATTATTATGCTGCAAAACTAAAAACTCTACGTAATATGGATTGAAATTTTTTTATGAATTCAGCCAAGAAGAATATAATCTTGATGGTAGCCAAATCGGTGTTATTCTTCCAAATTTCCTGCACAACTCAGCTGAGGGTTTTGGTGACCTGCGGTCGAAATCAGAGCCATAAAAATGTGCATTGAAATTGTAAAAAAGCCTGTCTGAGTTTGTTTTTTATGCTGGAGGTTTAAGGGCGAGTGATCTTTCTCCAAACAGTATGGTGAATTAAATTTGATGATGTTTGCTCAAATTCTTTCACAAAAGGATCATGCCATATTTTTGCATCATGAACATGATGGTTTTGTTTCATCTGCTGAAACTGCCTTCGTCATCATGCGCCAAATTACAAAATATTTAGTAACTTTAATAAGTTGCAGTATCTCAAACATTTTTCTTTTCCCTTGTGAATGCATAATTGAAGAATCAGTCCTTTAGTTTTCCAAAAATAGAGTTCATTCATCAAGTAAATAACTCATCAAGTTCATTTGAATTTTTGTGAAAAATTTTTGCATGCTTTAGGCTCGTATATGAGTGATGAAAAACTTAAACCGATGTCAGACGAGGATCATTTCAAGCACACTTTTTACTGAAGAAATTTTGGGAAATATTCGCCTGTATATTAATCCAAATTCCACCAAAAAAAATTGTCAACACGTTCATTTTTCAAAATTTCCCTGGACCATAAGGAATAAAGCAGAAGCTCTCAGCAGTGGCCGCAATAAAAATACAGTCAGTAATGTCTTACTGAAGCATGAACATATCGCCATGTTTGATCCACTCAATCGTTCTTGTAAAATTCAAATAAATCTATATCTAAAAATAATCCTCAATTCAGATTTTAATGTTTCATAGCCGAGATATATCTTACATCTGGAGTCGGTGCGGTCCAATGCATTGTATCCACGAGACGAAGAGGTACCAACGTCGTTTTCCAGCCGGAAAACCCTCTCTTCCAAACGAAGCATTTCGTCGTGCATCTTTTCCATGTCCTTCATCTTATCCATGACATGGGAAAAGGCTCTGTAAAGTCAAAGAGCGCATTAATTATCTGCAATCTCTATGAGCTGCGAAACATCTTCTATATGAGCTTTGGGGGGAGTTGGGTTGGGTGGGGAGGGGGTTTGGATGCAGGAGTCTTGGTTGTGCCTTGTGAACCCTGAAAAGTGGCAAATAAAGTGTTCTGTTCATTCATTCAAGATAATTCCAAAAAAAATAATCTATATTGATGCTCACATTTTTGTTTTACATACAGCGGGACTCTCTCTATATACAGTGAAATTCAAGGTACCAGAAAAAATTCGTTTTATTAGAGAGAGTATTTTTGTAGATAACCCTGTATAACATGGGAATGGAACCCTGGGGGATAAAAAAAATCTTTCTGCAGAAAAAAAATCGTTGTAGAGAGATATTCCACCTCTACTATTTATTTTTACTCATCTGTATTTCATTCAAATGTATACATTTTCGAAATTAAAAATCTTATAATACTGTGTATCCCGAAAAATGCTTGAGCGCTGAGTCAAAATTTTGTTTAAATTTACTGGAGAAAGTCGATTGATTTTCATCTTCAGAAAATAATGTATTCATTACCAAAGAGCGAGCCATGGGCGACCCATGGGCGAGCCATGGGCGACCCAAGGGCGAGCCATGGGCGACCCAAGGGCGAGCCATGGGCGACCCAAGGGCGAGCCATGGGCGACCCAAGGGCGAGCCATGGGCGACCAAAGGTCGAGCACTTTCAACAAAAAATTGTACAGCGGCAAATGTGGGCAGAGATTCACTCTAGTCCTTTGCGGCGGTGTCATTACAAGTCAAAATAAACACATACTAGAATACATCCTGTTCAAATAAATTCATGTATGTAATTTTTGATACAAATTTGTGAGGGAGAAATCCTAAGAGGGATTTCCCACAAGTGGCAAATAAAGTGTTCTGTTCATTCATTCAAGATAATTCCCAAAAATATAATCTATATTGATGCTCACATTTTTGTTTTACATACAGCGGGACTCTCTCTATACAGTGAAATTCAAGGGACCAGAAAAAAATCGTTTTATCAGAGAGAATATTTTTGTAGATAACCCTGTATAACATGGGAATAGAACCCTGAGGGATAAAAAAAAATCTTTCTACAGAAAAAATCGTTGTAGAGAGATATTCCACCTCTACTATTTATTTTTACTCATCTGTATTTCATTCAAATGTATACATTTTCGAAATTAAAAATCTTATAATACTGTGTATCCCGAAAAATGCTTGAGCGCTGAGTCAAAATTTTGTTTAAATTTACTGGAGAAAGTCGATTGATTTTCATCTTCAGAAAATAATGTATTCATGTGCAAACGCCGCAGGGATGTGCGATAAATGTATTCAGCAACGGAAAACGCGCACCATCGCCCTTTTTTCAACAACAGCAAATAACAGCACAGACACATTTACGAATATTCCAACAATAATTAGAAACTCACCCGTAAAGGTCGTCCGCCACGTCCTTGAGGTGTCGGACGCTGCTAATGTCGACGGATGATGATGACGAGCCGCCAAATGACGGCGGTGCTCGCAAATTGGCCGACTTCATTTCCGGGAGGTGATGCATGGGCATGTTATTGTAGGGCGACGAAGGTGGCAGAGGCGGCGGCGGTCCATCTCTCATCCGACTTCCAGAAGCCGGAAAGAAACCGGGTCCGAAACCTTTTATGCATAAATTTGAATATAGGAAAGAAGAGAATCAGCAAAAATCCCAGCGTGAGTAATAATATCAGAGCATGGTTTAAAAAAAAAAAAAGTGTGCAACGCACGAGATCATAAATACCCCCCAATAAAAATCATGTACAGTCAAACCTCTCCAAGTCGAACTTCAAGGGACCATCAAAAAATTTCGACTTGGGGAGGTTTTTAATTTAGCTACAATACAAAGCCCTTTTGTCCTGGGAAGCAAAGAAAAATTGCTCAAAATTTCTGGTATTCTGAGAAAAATCAAATTGTGATTAAATTAAAATGTAAATTAAAATTTAAATTAAAATTTAAATTAAAATTTGAATTAAAATGTAAATCAAAATGTAAATCAAAATGTAAATCAAAATGTAAATTAAATGTAAATTTTTATATTCTGAGGCTGAAATTACTTCTTAAGTGAGTTGAAAGCATCCTGAACTTGGAAGCAGGGTTCATTTGCCCAATTAAGTCTCTCACCTCTGTTTAAAACAAATCAATTTCTGTTTTTATTGCTTTTTTTCTTTCTTGCGTCAAGAAAATAAAAGCCAACAGGTCACAGAAAATTCAACTTTTGGAGATGTGAGGGGAAAAGACCTTGACTTTGGGAAGTTTTAAATGCATTAATTCTAAGGGGATTCAGACAGGACCTGAAAAAAATTTGACTTAGGTGGGTATTCGACTTATGGAGGTTTGAGTTATCCAGGTTCACCTGCATTGGTTACCCCTATATATACAATTTCTGCTCAAAGATTTTTCCCAAATTGTTCAATCAATTATTGATAATTATTCGAGAACAGGTTGAATACCTTGTGCTCTTTTATTACCAGGTGTTGTGCGTATCTTCCAGAGAGGAAACTTTGTTTTCTGTTTTTTTTTAACAAATCGTTATAGCTACTATATTATTCTGCTGCTGCAAAACTGTTTCCCTTGCTATTGCTTTGGGCCAGATAAAAAGTCGGATTGTAAATTATGTAATTGGTAATTTTTGAAAATAAATCCCAATTTTGCTTGGATACTTTTTGTAGCACAATTTTTTAGGGTCCTTGTGGTACATATTTTTGCTGGTCATGCTTCAGTAGCTGAAATGATTGAAAAATACTTTAGCGCTTCTTTTGGCAAGGGAATTCACATCACCGTAATTGTATTACCCTTGTAATTGGCCCATGATATTTCTCATGAATCTGAAAATAATTACGAAAATATTTGGCAATCCATCACAACATTACATTCACCTAGTAAACAATTAAAATTTCCATTCATTCAGCCATCCTCTCAAAAGATGCGGCTGAACTAAAATATAAATACAGTGAGACCCCCAGATCTGGACATGATTGGTGAATCAAGAGTGTCTCTGAGTTGAATTGTCCCTAAGTTGAGTCTTGTTTTCCCATAGACTTACATTATATAATTTTAATTGTTGTTTTATGGAAGAAATATTCTTCAGAATTCCATGAAAAACATTTTTTGACACGTGAATTTGATTCAGTAAATATATTTTTAACTCAGCAAGAACATTTGAAGCATTTAATAGTGTACCTCTGTACATTACATTGAAATGTACGCATCTGCAAAAAAAAAAAACATTCAAATCACAAAGAAAGAAGGAAGTCTCTCTAAGCAAAAGGTAGTTTTTTTTTCAATTTCCTGAATGGACGGGAGAAATGACAAAAAAAATTTCTTGCATGAATCTTAGGGTTTGAAACATCTGTTTCTTGCAATCAAGCCTAGTACAAGTAAATTTTTTATTAAATTTACTGGAAATTATCATGCAATGTCCTCATGTTGAGTCAGTGTCCATATGTTGGTCCTTTTATGCCCTTTTTCATTGAAAAATAAATGTCCCTATGTCGAATTGTCCACATGCTGAGGTTTCCGCATTTGGGGGTCTCACTGTGTAAAGAAGACTTTTATAGGACAATTTCCGATCACCGAAATTCCTGTGTAGTAGTCGGTCTATGTGCATTCCTTTTATCGTCAACTATATTGGATGCATTTGACATAAAAAGGTGCACATATTGTACAGGATTTCACCGACCGGGGAAATTACGGGAGAATGAACTCAGAGGGGTGAAACACCAGGAGATTCCGTCGGCAATATTCCGATGGTCGTTTTATATGCGTGCATCATCAGACCATCGAAGTTGAGCAGCAAGCTCTATGTGTATAAGCACCTGTTGCTCAAGCTTTTATTTTATTTTACACACACATGTTTTTTTATAATAAGTTGAGTGAACCACAGACCCCGGGTTCAACAAGCCGACGCCCCGGGTGAATATACTCCACTCCATA